AAATTTTTTTGTTAACATACAAAACCAATAAACTTTAATCTTTAAATATAAACTTTCTTGAATTGTTTAGTCAAAATAGTCTTTATATTTCAAAAAGTACCTAGTACCTAGTACCTTTGAGGAAATTACATGCCAGAAATGCTGGTTTAACCAACCTTTTGCACGACTTATCTAAAAAATATGCTGAACATCTCATAGTGTTAAAAAAAGAAAAGCATCTTGAAAGAACCGCCTAAAGAACTTAATGTGCAAGCATATTTTTGAGTGATCTAGGAAGAAATGTCTTGCAAATGGTGCAAGATCTTACAATTCTTAATTTTATAATTCGTCTTAAGCGTGAGAACATCATTGCAATTTAGTTTCTTTTTGTTGGGAATTTAATAAATTGTGAACTAGTTAGGAAAAACAGAAACTTAGCTTTTCAAAAATAAATGATAACTAGAGAAAACATGCTTCAAGAAAATCCACTGTTTTTTGTAATAACTTATGTAGATATTAGGCATGTGTGTATGCTTATGGCAAGTGAAGACTAGGTTTATTTTTTAATTATTATTTTATTTATATAATTTTAAAAAACGCATATGCAAAAACATATATTTCCTTAGATAGCTGCAGAGTTTGGAAAATCAATTACAAACTCATTCAGCTGGCAAAAAAATATAAAGATCCAACAAAATCAAAAATGCAATACTGTGTAACTCTTTTGCAGTTCATGTTGCTAACTCTGATACAGAAAATAAGAAGAAAAATTTTCATTTCCAATTTTTAACAAATGTTTGTACGTTTGTCTATTTGTCACACCCTGAGCTATATCTCTTTGTATCTTTAAATAGGTCAACAATGGTCGATAAATGTTTGTCTTCCTTAGAAATCCTGTCGATTGAGAGCATTGAGAAATTGCAAGAAAATTAAGTTATGAAGGCATAATAAAAGAGTTCGCAAGCATGAAAACACTTCGCAAACTGTTTTTTTGATGGTTTTCAGACGTACTTGTATTATCTGCATAATACATTTACACTAGTTAAAGAAACTCTTCACTAGTAAACTTTATAACAATTTAACAGTTATACAGGCTTGGTCGGGAAGCGGGAGCGATCGCTCTCGATTGCTGACCACGTAAATAATATTTAGTTGCAAAAAGCTGGCCAGATTTTTTAGTCGTTTTGAGAACATTTTAAAAAGCAAAAAAAAAAAAGCGGCAAAGATTAATTGGACCAATGAGAGACAATTACAAAAGAAAAAAAAAATAGGCAAATAAAATATCTTTAACACGAAAAAACTTAAAGCTAAATAAATTACATTTAGAACAAATATTTTCGAAACATCGCTCTTTTACAATTTTTTTTATAAAATTAAGCGATGTTTTTTACATAAAGTAACAACTTATGATTGTTTAAAAGGGAAACAAATATTCTTTATTTAACTAAGTTTGCAAGTTTTAGTTTTACTTAAGCTAAATTATTTTATAAATTAAAAAAAAAAAATTTTTTAATACCTATTTTATGTTTTGCGTAGTTTAAAAAGTTTAAGATATTTGAAGCGATTCTTCTTAGTAAGATAAACAAATGAAATAATTAAATCATTGAATAACTATAGGAATTAAATTATCAAGATAGAAATCAACTAAAAAGGTTAAAAATACTTAATGACCAGGAAGCGAAACTGCTTCACAATATCGCTGATGATGTTTAGTGAGTGGGCTTTCTAATTTTAATTAGTATTTAAAGCAGAAAAAAGTATAACAAGTTTTAAGAATGGCAACTGAAGCGAAAATAATTAGAGTTAGTGAACCAATATCTAGAAACTTTTCTTTATATCTAATTATTTGCTATATATATTTGTGTTCTGTTGTAACCTCAGGTGCGATGCTTGTTCATCCGCGAGTTACTTTGTATGCGTTGTTTGTTTTTAGTAACCAGAAACTTCTTATATGTTTGTTACATAATTAGTTTTATTAACTTTAACGATTATAACTTCATTGAAAACGCAATTATTTTTGTCTTTGTTTAAATCATGAAAATTGCTTTAAAAGATAGATTACGATAAAAAACAAATACACAAAATTACATTTACATAAAGAATACAATAAAATAAAAAATAAGAATATACTAATAAAATCTATGATTTATAATAAACTTTTAAAATTTTAACAATTTAATTAATAGATATTTAAAACATTTATTTTCGTAAACAAATAATATATATTCTTAAAACAATGCTAGAAATCTCAAAACGAAGCAAATCGTGAGTAATACAATTGCTAAAACAATTTAACAGAATACTCTAGAACTTTATTTTGCTTAATCAGCGTATTTTTTGAACCAATAGAACTAGTTTGTTCGTTAATTTGGCGGGTTTTTAGTGTTCGCAAATATTCTTTTTATTCTTTCGCACAAAGATGTTTTAAGAATATTCAAGTTTTTTATGTTTCCATGTATGTCCATAAAACAAAAATTTTTTGTTTCGTACATAAACTTAAATGTTCTCAAAACGACTAAATAACCTGGCCAGTTTTACGCAACTAAATATAATTTCCGTGGTCAGTATTCGAGAGCGATCGCTCCCGCTTCCCGACCAAGCCTGTTATAAAATATATTTAATTGAAATTAAGTGTTAATTTGATTGTTTTTAGTCTTATGAGCGACAATGTAAAAGTACCCAGCTGTTTTGGGGTAATCTGTAAACTTTATCCACTTTTTTAGAAGAAAAAAAAAAAAAAATTGGGACCCTAATGGCAAGTTTTTTTTTTTTTTTTGGGAGGGGGGGGGGGGGGAGGAGGGCCAAACTCACTTGCCATGGCACTATTGTTAGTATATGCATAAAAGTTTGGCTGTAATTTTACAAGTTGAAGTTTACATATTAAAATCTTTTTCTGATTTAGATGTACAAATTATTTCAACAGTTTAATATATTTTATATGCATAGTTAAAATTAAATATTATTTTGTTATAATATTTTAATCACCATTTAAATCTTATTCTTATTATATTTATCTTATTTTTTTTAATATTTATAATAGTTATTTTATCTTCTTATTCTTTTTATAATATTAAAAAAGAAGAGTTAATTGAAAAATTAAGCAGTAAGCAAAAGATATTTAAGTCTTCCACTTACCGCCTAAAATTAAGACTAATTTTAAAATGGTTTTAAACTACTAAGAATTTAAATTAAAACTTTTTTTAAACATGTAATATTATGTTTTCATTCATGTATTAATAAAATTAAAAAATCAAATTAAGTTTATTTTAGATTAAAGGAATTTATTTTAGATTAAAGTGAAGTCGAAAACAAATGTATTTAACTGGTATGTTGAATAACCTTTTTTATTTTCATTTTTTTATTTTAATTTTTTTATTTTTATCATATAATTTCTAATATTCATGATTTCTAAATTTTAAATTTTTTGAGAACAAATTATAATTATTTGTACTAAACTAAAATTTTACTAACTTAATGATTTGTTAAACACCAACCATGAACTGTCACTCCTTAGTTAAACATCAACCACAATCTGTAACTTCTTAGATGAACATCAACCACAAATGAGCTTATAAACTACAAATTTTGAATAACTACAAGTTTGTAATTATTCAAAATTTTTTCGAAATTCGAAAGCAAGAACAATTATAACTACAAGCACAGTTATTCAAAATTGTGATGGCCTGAACATCAACCATGAACAGTCACTCCTTAGTTAAACATCAACCACAATCTGTCACTTCTTAGTTGAACATCAACCACAAATGAGCTTATAAATTACAAATGAGCTTATAAACTACAAATTTTGAATAACTACAAGTTTGTAATTATTCGAAATTGTGATGGCCTGAAACTCTTTTCAAGAGTTAAAGGCCTCAGTTCTTCTTGGTTGTCAATAGACTTAAAATGTAAAATTGTCAAGCTAATATTAAGATATTTTACAACAAAAATCATACAAATCTAAACTACTCGAGTATTGGAAGCAACACAATCAAAATTAAAATTAAGTAATTAAAATGAAACAAAACTTTTATGAAACTATAAGGAGGTTTTATTCTCAAATAATTTTTATTCTAGTTAATAAGATATATAATAATTAGATATATCAAAGATGCTTATTGAATTTTAATCAATTTTATATTAATTCAAAACAATTTTTCATGCGCAAATTTATGATAACTAATATACAATAACCTTGTGACCCTTATTCTTTAATACAAAATAGTGAATTTTTCTCAATTCAGTTTGTTAAATTTATTTACTTATAAAAAAATTTTTAAACTTGAAGAAATTAAATAAAAGGAAATTAAAAATAAAAAAAAAAGTTGTTTTGACATTCCTTTTTTAATATTATGATATTATTATTTTTATAATAATATTAAATATTTAATAATAAAATATCATATTATTTGTGTTGTTAAAGGCACAGTAAAAAATGAAAACTATATATTCTATTAATTTACATATTTGTGCAAATCTTAAAAAAATTTTTCAAAACTTTAAAAAGAGCAAACACTACTTTAATTTAACGATAATAAAAAAATTAAAAAAAAAGGCACACTTTTAAAAAAAGTAATGTTTTTAGCATGGTTTCTTTTAAAGTAATTGCAATTGCATTCATTTTAATGTAAACGCATGTAAAAACCATGCTAAAACATAATTACTTCCTTTAGTTGCGTACTTAATTATTAAACTTACAAGTAACGCTATTGAAGAAAGTATAAGCATGGTTTCTTTTGAAGTCATTGAAAATGCATTTTAAATTTTAGTATCTTATTGTTTTTTATAATGAATGTTCTTTTTATAATAAATAAAAAACTATCAATTACATAATTATTTGGAAAAAAAATTACTGAAGTTATGCGTTTGTTTTTAAAAATTTTAAGTGAATGCCAATGTTTGCTTAAATAAAAGTAAGGAAACACTATGTTCGTTTTTCTGTCTTTTTTTAACAAATGTTTGCATGTTTGTCGATTTGTCACGCCCTGCATATACATAAAAATATAAAAGTTTCAACATACATTACATAATCCATCTTCATAGATCTCACCCACATCCCCAATTGATACTTTTATTTCAATTATAGCCAAATCTTTTTCGTTGTCAATAAACAAAAATGATAATCTGAATATGGCAAAATAAAATTTCAATAGATGCCATTTAAAAATTTTAATAGATGCCATTTTTTAATATCAAAGTATAAAATTTTAAAAAACAAATTTTTAAAATAAAATTTAAATGTTATATTTAATGTGAGTGAACTAACCGATACTTATCTACTGGCACAAAAGGAACAAAGTTCCTTACAACACTATCAAAAGCAAGTCTATAATCATCTTCCATTTTACGAGTGATATTTCCACCATATATACATCCTAAACATTAAATATAAATTTATTAAAATTATATTTATATAATCAAATTGTCTTTTCAAATATAAATGAAGAAATAAAACCACCTGGTCACCCAGAAGACAGAATCCCAGTCAGCTTAAAGGTAGGAATGAGTAGTGTGATGATAGGGTGAGTCCAAAAAAGAAGTATGAGATAAAAGATTTATAGAGATCATAGCATGGTCAAAACCACCTAAGGAAGAAAAAGGGAGAAACTGAACAAAGCTAGGGTCAGAGACAAGACATAAATAAAGAGCAAAGGTCTGAGTAAGAGATTGAGAAATGCAGAAGTTTTAGGTAGTTTTTTAGTGCCAGTAGGGTTAGTGGCATTAGAGCCAAGCCATTCAGTGTGACGAGAATTAAAGTCACCAATAACAACAATATTGGCAGAGAAGTAAAGAAAGAGAGAGAGGGCATGGTCAATTTGATCAGAAACTACATCTAAAAAAAGTCTTAAAAAGGAGATCAATAAAGAACAAAGAGTAAGGTGATACGGTGATAGAGGTTCTAAGCAGAAGCACATAACAGAATGGTCAGGGGATTTAAAGCTGATTTCCCTACAAATAGGTGAATTGATGGCCCCAAGCCAAGCATGTGACTATTAGAGTCTTTCCAAATCAAAGGTTAGTACCCATCAACACTGAGATTTGAAGAAGGAATAGCAGAATATAAATTAGTATTACTAAGAGCAAGCAAGTCTGGTGAATTTTGCGAGAGGTAAGATTCAACTGATGGAAGGTTGTTTTGCAGAGCACAAATATTTGTAAAAAATATATTAAAACAGTTAGGTGGTGGGGATGGTATTTTATGTTTAATGTTTTAGGTTATTTTTGGCATGATTTAAGTTTAAAGTGAACTTGACTTATTCACAGATTACACAGCCTCTTAAGCAATGAGCTATACAGTTGTCTCAGTCCTGTTAATTAACGCAACTTTGTTACAAAGTTTTAACAACTTTGTAACAAAGTTGGGCTCTTTATGTGGCATTTAAAGGAACACCATCCCATGTGCAACAAGGCACTGTTAATAGTTTGATATTTGGTAGCTGTTGATGGAATCAGTTTCTCTGAGAGCTAATTCCATCAACAGCTACAGCTAAAATAGTAATTTTTTTTAGTATGGCTTTGATTTTCTTTTATTACAGAAATAATGTGATGGATAGGTGCTCTTCATACTGTCACAAATAACTAACCAAAATATGAAAATAATGGTAACATTTTCTGAAAAGATGATTGTTTATTTTGTCATAAAAAAATTCTTAGAAATGTTTTGATAAGATCATGGAGAGTTACAACTGGGCAAAAATGTTAATATTTCATATCTTGAATTATTTATATTTGAAACTATTTAAAAAGAAGACATAACTCTATCCTGGAAATGGACTTATCTTTCTAGGAAAGTAAAACAGCCAAAATAATGAAAAAAGCTTGAACAATTAAAACAATTAACTTTGTCAATGAAGAATGATAAATCCTTAAAACTAACCTTAAATGTCCCGCTTTTACTTTATAATTGTCCAAAAGACTATCCATTATAATAGATTTAATGATTGTGGCTGATCTATAATTTTGTCTTAACTTTTTGAACATGGATATTGTAATATATGAGAATTTGAATATATGCAACCACACCCATGTATTACCCATGAATTATTCTTGTTACAGTCGGCTACAGTCATTATTCCTGTTACAGCTGTAGTATTGCAGTAACCATTTGTATTTCTCAAAAAAAAATTACTGATTTAATAGTATGGTGTAACTGCAAATTTTAACAGTTGTTTCTCAATACTATTTCTCAACTAAGATTTGCTCTTCCAATCAAGACTTCTAATTTAATTTTAAAACTAAAAATACAAAACCCACAATAATATCAGGCTTTCACAGGAAGACGTGCGATTTCACGTCTTTATATGACCACGCATGTTACATTTTGCTATGACGGTTTGACCGCAGCTAATTCAAAAAACATTTTAGAAACGTGCTAAATAAAAAAAATTCTAAAAAAGTGAAATTAATTACATCAAAACTTCTTAACAAATGTTTTTATATTAGCGAAACAATTTTAAATAAAGTAACAATTTACTGAAAAAAAGTTTTGTTTTTTAAATATAATTGACAGTTGTATATATTTTTTTAATTTAAAACATATAAATTGTTTAAGTATTTATTTCTAAAATAAATCTTATTAAAAAATAAAAAATTGTTTTGTTTTTATAAACGATGACATTCTACAACTACGAAAGTCTCTTTAACGAATTTAAATATAAGAATGATTAAAGTTAATGCATTTAAAAAGATAAACAAAATTTCGTTAAAAAAAAAAAGTTTTAGAAAACCGTTACAATTTAGTAAGTTTGATCTTAAATGTTAAAAATAAATATTATCGAAACGCTTTTAATGAAGTAAAAAAAAAACACTAATTAATTTAAAAAAAAGTATTTATAAAATGTTTTTTTATTTTATTTATATAACTATGTATTTTTTCTGAGAAATATTTAACTTTTGAACATATTAAACAAATAAAAAATATATAAAAATGTTGAAACAAAGATTGAAAAGGTTTTTTAATGCGTAAATTAAATAGACTAAGCATTTTAGTTTGATGAGTTTTGTTTTAGTTGTGTTATATATATATATATATATATATATATATATATATATATATATATATATATATATATATATATATATATATATATATTTTTTTTTTTTGTGTTTTTGCTTTAACTAAGTATTATTCTTATTTTCTCTTTTGTTAATATTTATTATTTTTTTAAATTTTTTTTTCAGATAAGTTTAGGTAAGTTTTTGTAGCGCATTTTTAAGATTTTAAAAAAGATGCCATGGTCAAATCATTAAAACATTTTTTTTTTGCATGGTCATATAAAGACTTGAAATCGCACGTCTTCCTGTGAAAGCCTGAATATGTACTTGAAAAAAATTTTATTTAAAAATTCTTTTTTAAATTGAAAAGAAGTGAAAAGAATTGAAAAGAAATGTATACTTGAAAAGAATAACTTATTATTGAAATCTTATTATCTTATTAAATTTTTTTTTTACTTATAAACTTTAAAAAAAAAAATAATACTAAAAAATACCATCTGAGCCACAGCCAAAGTAAAGAATACCACCATGCGAGTTTAAAAAAGCATTACAATATGATCGAACTTTCTAAATAAACAAGATTTTGAGTAAAAAAAAAACATATATTGGTTATTTCAATACTCAGAAGAAAAAAGTATACATACATCTTTAAATGAGCCACCGGGATATCCTATACTTTCCAAAAAAACAACTTCTCTTCCTTCTTTGACCTTTATATTTGAATATCTCTTTAAACCCATAAATACTGAATCTAAAATAATAAATCTTATAAATATATATCTTATATATATATATATATATATATATATATATATATATATATATATATATATATATATATATATATATATATATATATATATATATATATATATATATATATAGAATATATATATTATATTTTATATTTAAATATATATATATATATAAAACCAATACTAACTCTGAAGGAATTTTAAATATGATAAAAAATGACTCTTAACTTTTTGTCTTTAAAGTTAACAAAATCAAGTATACAATATGTAAAAACCACTAAACTATTTGATGAAACCTTTTAAATTTTATTGTATTTAAAAAAAGGCCAAAAACACAACTTGATAGACTAGTATGTTGTTTATCTTTTTAATTCAGAATGTTTTTTTTTAAATTGAAAAAAATATTTTCTTTTAAATTGAAAAAAAAATTGATGCCCAGCCCAAACCCTCAATGTAGAGTCGTTTCTTGTACAGATCCCTGACTTTGTTACTCTATGTACTAAAGCTAACAGCCGCAGGTAGAGATGTGACGCGTTTTTTGGTTCTTGTTTTATTGGTGGTTTTTTTGGAGAAAAAAATGCAGGGGTTCGTTTTTTTGGTTTTGTTGGGAAATATTTAAAAACTCATCATTTAAGCTACTAAATTCAACTTTAATGGCAATATTATTAAACATATTTTAATTTAAGATTTATATAGGAAAACTAAGGCTGAATTTGGCTAAAATTCTTTTTCTTTTGGTATGTTAAAAGGTAATTGTTTTATTGTTAATATTTAGGTTAACAGGGTTATAGCAGTCCTGCATAAAAAATTATTAGTTAATTTTATCGTCCTCTATTCAATTTTTATTGACTTAACTACATTTACTTAATTTTATTTAATATTTGATATATATATATATATATATATATATATATATATATATATATATATATATATATATATATATATATATATATATATATATATATATATATATACACATTATTATTATTATTATCAATTTACTGTACTTACAAAGTTTTGAGTTGCAAATAAAAAGTTATATGCAGTTTTAAAAGCTCTTTTTAATAATCAATTATGTTCTCTATTTAATTATATTTAAATTTTAGATACTTTGCTTAACATAGTAAATTTTAATTATAAAAATGAGTAAAGCAGGCCATTCAGGGGGGAGAAACAAAACCGTAGTTGCCAATTTATTTATACCTATGAACCAAATTAGCAAAATGGAAAGAGTTAAATGTTCCTTTTGCTTTGACATTATGTCAAAAAATGGAACTTGAATGACTAAACATATTGAAAAATGTCGAAAATGTCCTGGTGAAGTAAAAAGTCTATACGCAAATAAATCAGGTCATAGTCAAAAACAGCAAGACTCTCCTGCAGACGCTGAACCAAAAACAGAAAATCCTTGATCAGATTCTTTTGGAACACCCTTTTGTTGTAGAAGTAAATTTGTAGAAGTAAAACACCAAGTTCCATGTTTGACAGCATGACAAAAACTGAAAAGGTGTGTAATTTATTTTTATAATTTTAAGATTTATTTGAAGAATGAGCTGATATGGCTACTAACTTATTAAAAATTCATGATGAATAGATTTTAGATTTGTTTCATGATTGACTGATGTACCAGTATGACATATCTTTTGCAGGAATTGATTGATACACACCTAGCAAGAGCAATATATGCCAGTGGATCCCCACTCCATTTAGTAGAAAATAACTATTGGAAAATCTTTTTGAACAAGTTATGTCCTACTTATAAGCTTCCCTCAAGACATGAAGTTTCAAAAATATTATTAGACAATGAATTTTCAAAGATTTCAGCAAATGTTAAAGAAATGGTAGCAACTGCAGATTATCTTGGGTTGATGTGTGATGGATGGAGCAATTTAAGGTATAAAAACATTTTTTTCTAATATTAGTTGATGCAATTGAAATTATATTATTTACTTAATAAACAGATCATATTTGTTTATATGCTGCTTTTTCTTTACAGAAATGAAGCTATCATTAACTTTGTAATGACATGGCCTTCTTCATCACATATTTTGTGGAAGACATTGCCTACCATAAAACCATAATTCTTGTACTGTATACAATGGATTTACTTAACAGACTGGTAGACTTTTAAAATATGCATACTATTTTATAATAAACTTTGATATTAAATTTATAACAAACGACACTGAAAACCATTTCAATAAGCAGAAATAAAGTACCAGTAAATACGTTTATAGTATTTATATACTACAGTATATATAATATATCCTAAACTGTTTTGTAGGAACATCAAGCCACTCTGGTGAATATATGGCAAATGAAATAAAGAAAGTTTTAGAAGAAATAAATCCTAAAAAAGTTTTGGGCATTGTGACTGACAATGCTGCAAATATGAAAAATGCATGGACTCGTCTAAAAGATTGTTATCCCCATCTTCATTGCTACGGATGCATTTCACATGGTTTAAATTTGCTGTTTACAGACTTTTTAAAATTGGCAACTTTAAGTGTTTTGATGTCACAAGCAACTGATATTGTTAAAGAGATAAAAAATTCTCATTTATCTGTTGCAGCATTTAGAAATATACAAAAAAAGTCAGCTGGTGTAGTAACATGCATTTCCTTGAAACTACCAGTACGAACTAGGTAATACAATAAAAGCATAAATATACAGTACATTACAAAAAAAATTTAATTATTTAACTAATTTTATTATACATTCATAAAAATAGATTTCATTTAGTAAATTACTTTAATCAAAATTTATTTAAGTTACTGCAATTTTTGTGTGTTTTATTTAAAGGTGGGGATCAACTGTAGCATGCTTAGATAGCATACAGAAAAATAAGCAACCATTAAAAACATTGGCTATTTCTGAAAACAGTGGGGTTAATTCAGCAACAAAAAATATTCTTCTATCAGATATTTTTTGGGACAGGGTTGAAGGTTTTTTCAAATTGCTGTCACCAATAGCTGATGCAATAAATAAAACTGAATCAAATGCTCCCATGTTATCTACTGTTGTGGAAACTTTTCACTTGGAAGATCACATTTTTAAAAATTTAACAGTTAGCCTATTTTCAAAAAAGGAAGAAAAAGAAGCCAAAAAGATCTTCAAGATAAGAAAAGAATTTTAACAGAAATTCACTTGGCAGCCAATATACTAGATTCCAAATTTCAAGGCAGACTCTTGACTGGAGAACAAAAGGTATTTTTCTACACATAATTCATACATGATTCTTAAAATCGAATACCTTGTGCATTAAAAGTGAAATTTTTGAAAAATTTTGAATTATTTTAAATACTATTTTCAAGTTTAAAAATACTATTTAAAATAATAAAGTAATTATAAAATTATTAAAAGAAAAATCTTTTTATAGATTAATACATGTGAGGTGATACATAACATTGCTGCAAGTATGCCTGAAGTAAACAAAGAAATTATGATGTATGACTTCTCTAATTACCAATCAAAGAGTGGTATATTTTCAAAACCCTTTATTTGGACTGCAGTTAGAATAACTCATCCTATAAATTAATGGAAAGGGTTGTGTTTCTTTACTGAATTATCAAAAGTTGCATCTAGAATTTTTCAGCTACCAGCTTCAAGTGCAGCATGTGAGAGAAGTTTTAGCACTTATTCTAACATTCATAGTGCAAAAAGAAATCGCTTAACGACTGAAAGAGCTGGAAAACTAGTTTTCATTTCACAAAATTTAAAACTTGAAAATATTGAAAACACCAGTTTTCAAAATGGTACAAGCATAACTACTCCTCAAATTAATAACTCGAGTGTAAATAAAGTTCCAACCACTTCAACACCTTGGTCAGAGTCTGAAGCAGTTAATATAGAAAGTGACAGTGACTTTGTATATGAATCATTAGATGAAGGTAGTCTTGGGCAGGAAGACTCGGACTCAGAAAGCCCATCCATTTAGAATATCTTTTATAGTTTAAATACATGGTAAAATTACTAAATTATTGGCTTTTTTGCTTAAGTATTTATACTTTTTTTAAATTGTGTATATACTACACTACACAGTGCTACACTACTTAGCACTGAATTAATAACCAATTTAAACTAATAAAACATAATTATTCAAAAATAATTTAAAATTTCATGTAAATTAATTATAAAGTTAGTTTTTTTTATAAGGGCTTACTGGCAATATAATTCAACATATGTAACAAACAATGTAAGACCAATGTAAGTTTTTTATTAAAACATTAATTTTAAATTGGTGTTTATACATTGTATTTGTGGTTATAATGATCATATACTATAAATAAACAGAATAAAACAAAAACTCTTCTAAATTATTTACCAAGAAAAATAAAAAACTTGTTTGAAAATTCTAAAAAACCAAAAAACACCAAAAAAACATCAAAAAAACATTTTTTTGACCCAAAAATGCAAGAGGAAAAAAACGCATTTTTTTGCAACTCTAGCTGCAGACTATTTCAGTATGACAGACTGCTCTCCTAAAAACATAATAAAAGTTATATATATACAGACCTCAGAATTAGCAAATATGAGGTCAGCAATTTATTGCCCACATAAAACTGAAATGAAATCCTTGTTTTTAAGTTTGTTTGTGTTTTGATCAGAGTACTAATAACCTTTTTTCCTTATTTCTATTTTTTTTTTTTTTTTATAATTTGACATACAACAATAAGTTTTTATTCTATAATTGTATTACCTAGATTAACATTCATTTTAACATTCAAAAACAGAAGTTTTCAAAAAAATGGGGGGGGGGGATATTTTCTCTTTCGCCTTCTCTGATTATACGCCAGTGGTTGTGAGAGTCTTATAAAAAAACATTGTAATTTTTGCTGCAATAAATTTGTTTTTTCTGCAAAAATTTTTGTGATCAAGTAAATTTGAGTTAATTGATAACTATTTATTAATTAATACTAAAATCTCATCTAATTACTAACTAATAAATTTTTAAAAGTTTTTATTTTTTTAAAAACAATTGCTCTGCAAAGTTATGGCCATAAACTAACTTAAATGAAGTGACATTTTAGCTTTTATTGCTTCATACTTAAAAAATTGTGGCATAAAGTTAAACATAATTTTAAAGTTAAACATACAATTTTTCTTTTTTTTCGTACTTGAAAAAAACTTTTTTGGTTGCTATTATTTATCTTTACTTTAAAGACTTTGGCTTTTACTGAATCTTAGACATCGACTCCTTAAAATGACACATTTTTGCATTGGTAAATGTTAAAAGTAAGGTAAAATCAATGAAAAAAAAAAAAAAAAAACAAATAGAGAGGAAAAAGTTATTAAGTCATAATCACCTGCACACAAAAAAGCACTACAAATTATTTCTCATTCTAAAAAACAAGCCATAAAGATAATTAGTTTAAAATTTGCACATCAATATTATTTAGCACGAAAAAAATATATAATAAATTATCTTATCACTACTCTTGTTTTTAAAAATAGTTTTTTATAATCTACTTGGGTCTTTTTTGCTTGTACTTCTACTAATTCTAGTATTTAATGGGGGTCAACTAGTATTTAATTTGTAATCTTTTGAAATTACTATGCAGCATTGTATTAGAACTATCATGATTATTTCATTTTTATCGGATTTAAAATAGAGGAAATAGATCCAGTTTATTTTCAAGGCCTTGAAAAGTAATTGTGTGATATCAACTTCATACTAAACATTGGTCTTAAATTAGATAGACAAACTTTTTTATCTAAGACACAACAGTTAATTACCTTAAAATGCTATGTATTTCAATCAACGAGAAGTAATTCTTTACAAACAGCTTGCAGCAGAAAAGAACATCAAATTGCAGATAAGATTATTTTTTAGTAAATGAAGTGAAAATTATAATTCTAAAATTTTTACAATTAGAGCTTCACATAAATCTTTGAATCTTTGCACAACAAAAAAAAAAAAGATACAAACAAGCATAAAAAAAACTTTGATAAGAAACTTGCACATTTTTGATAAATTTCAAAGCAAGAAGACAATTCCAGAGAGTAGGGACGATTTTATCAAAAATTGAGCAAAAACATTCAATATTTGTGAAAATACTAAAGAAAACACATTATCCCCTGAGTATTACTGAGGCTGTTGATATAATCAATGTATATATAGCAATTTGCTCAATTGTTAAATTAGATTAATTTATAGATATATATTTATATATAGAGATATATCTCCGGAAAATAAAAATGGCGGCAGGTAGTGCTTGATTTCGGACTAGAATGTTGAAAATTACAAACTAAATAGTTTATGTTTATTGTTTACTTTCAGTATCCTAAATAGTGCAGTGTTTGCTTTGGATGCTTGTTTTTTAAATTGAATCACTGAAGTGAGGTTATGGAACTCTGAGAGATTAAAAATATTAACTGGTTTACATTGCACTTTACAATTACAATTATATTGTTTGCATTTATATTTTGGTGTGATATTTTCAAATCAAACGGCTGGTCTGCACTTTGGCGTAAAGCATTATTTTGACGTATAGCAGTATTACTTTGTTTATCTACTTTATTCAAAAATTTTATTTCCTTTTTCAACTATTTCACAACAAACTCATTATAATGGCTCTCCCCTTTTTCTGAAGTATTATTCTATCAGTTGAAGAGTTAATCTTGTGAGGACTAATAATTTCCTTCAAAGAGTTGAAGTTCATTGTTCAAGTTCAAATTACTAAAGTTCCAATTTTTGTTGTTCATTATTAACTTTTGTTAGTCCTACTTAAACACTCATAATTTGATTTATATATTACTCCATACTATTTAAATTGTCTATATTATATGTGTATATTTTATGTTCATATAAGTCTGCATTTTTATATATAAATATAAATTTAAATATATATATATATATATATATATATATATATATATATATATATATATATATATATATATATATATATATGCTTTTTTATGTATATATGTATATACTTATATGCATATATATATATATATATATATATATATATATATATATATATATATATATATATTATATATATATATATATATATATATGAATTACATTGTCATATACACTAAATTTTATCACTTATAATTATCTTATTTATATTATTTTATCACTTATATTTATCCTTAAGCAGTATAGTTACATTGTAAATTTTATTTATATTTAAAACCAATATACTTATATTTATATTTATATCAATACTATATACTCTATTATCTAGTACTATTACCTAATATTTCAATAAGACTTCACTTTCTTCACACCCTATTGTTATACTCATTAATGTTGGAATCCAATAAATCTCTAACTTATAAATATAAAACTTATATAAAATTAATATTTTTTATTTACTAATTTTTAGTCTTCTAATATAAAATATATATTTTATTAAATAAAAATATAAACAATACAAAATATAAAACAATATAAAAGTATAAAACAATATAAAAATATAAAACAATAAAACTATATATATATATATATATATATATATATATATATATATATATATATATATATATATATATATATATATATATATATATATATATATATATATATATATATATATATATATATATATATATATATATATAAATTTACACTTTAAATAACTCCAATGGTCTACCTTCTTCTTCAATCTCTAAAATAACTACCTCATAAATGCCTGTTCTGATTTTATGTTCCTATATGGCTATAAAATTTCCTTGTGGTATTTGTCACAAATCTGGGCTCTACAGTGTGACTATTCTGACACATGGATACATATTAAGTGTAGAATTGATAGAATTGATAACAAAACCTACAACTCCTTAAAGACAGAAAGTGGGTCTTAGTATTGCTTAATCTGTTTGGAAAACACTCTACCTTTCTCATCTCTAATAAATAGCAATTTTCAGCTAACAATAAATGATATAAATGGATTGCCATACAATTCAGATGATGGAATACAAAAAAATCTGAAAAATCCCATCAAGAATTTTAAAAATTTTAATAACAATAAAATAAAATGCCAATATTATGATACTTCCAAGTTTAACCATGTTGTAAATAAAGATTGTAATGTCTTCTTTTACATTAATATATCTTAATTAGCATACTACATTGATGATCTAAAATGTCTGCTCTCCCTTATAAATCATGAACCCAGCATAATAGCAATAACTGAATCTCGCTTAATCCATGGTCAATTGCCTAAAACTAATATCTATCTAAATGGCTATTCTGTTGAGCACTGTGATTCTAGCTCAAATAGAGGGGAAACACTTATGTACATAAAAATGGATCTGAAATATAAAATAAGAGCTGATCTTCAAATCCAAAAGACAAGAGTCAACTTTTATTGAAATATTATGTCCAGGAAAAAAGAACAGTTTTAGGATGCATCTATCGCCACCCATGTATGTGCATTGCAGAGTTTAATAATTTCTATCTGCAAACACTCATTGAAAAAGTATCCATTGAAAATAAAGACATAATAATTCTTGGGGACTTAAACATGAATCTTCTTAACTATGATTCTTCTAGTGATGTTTCTAATTTTCTTGATTCCATGTGTTCTTACTCTCTCTTTTTATTACCCAACCTACTAGAATAACACCACAATCAAAATCACTTATAGACAACATATTTTTAAACTTTTACAAACCTAATCTTGTATCTGGCAATCTAACATATTCTCTAGCTGACCACCTTATACAGTTTATTGTGATACCTTCCTAAAAATTTGAAAAATTACATCCAAAATCATATCGTCGATGTTTTAAGAATTTTGACAACAAATTATTCCTTGATCAACTTAAAGCTACAGATTGGGATCCTGTTATTAAAGGAGCAAATGAAAGTATTAGTAATTCAATAAAAAAATTTTTGGAAATTATCAACAAGCTTCTTGATTATCATGCACCATTCAAACTGTCAACAATAAAAAAACAAAAAAACTCTATCTAAACCATGGATCACCTCTGGGATCATTTAGTCTAATAAAATCAAAAATCAGAACTTAAAGTTAAAATACTTTCAGCGTTTCAAATCTTATAGAAATCAAATTTACAATTTAATTCGATACTCTAAAAAATTGTACTACTCAAAATATTTTAATGAAAATGTAAGCAACCTGAAAAACACCTGGAAAGGAATTAAGAGCATAATTAATTTAAAATCAAAGAATAACCATGTTATAGAGAGTTTAACAATAAATAACCAAAACATCACAGACAAGAAAATAATTGCAAATACTCTAAATGAGTACTTTTCTACAATAGCAGAAAACCTTGGATCAAAAATAATACCTCCAAAAAATAACTTTAGTTATTATCTTAAAAACTGCAATCCTACCTCATTTTATATAACCCCAGTTACTCCTCAAGAAATTAAAGACTATATATCTGCCATGAATTCTTAAAAAGGTATCGGACCAAACAGCATTCCTTCAAAAATACTTATACTTCCATCTCAGGAACTCAGTTACCCTCTAAGCGTCATAATAAATGAACCATTCAAATCTGGAATCTACCCTGACCCATTTAAAGCTGCTAAGGTAATACCAAGCTTTAAAAATGGCTCCATACAGGACTGCTGTAATTATAGGCCTATATCACTACTATCAAAAATTAGCAAACTACTTGAAAGGTTCATGTATATTAGATTATCTGGATTTCTACATCAATCAAATATCTTATATAGGCTGTAATATGGATTTCGCAAATATCATAGTACAAACCATGCCCTAATTGATATTACTGAAACAATAAGAGAGGCTTTTGATCAGAAAAGGTTTGCCAGAGGAGTGTTTGTGGATCTGTAAAAGGCATTCGACACAGTTAAACACGAAATCCTGCTGTCAAAGTTATTTCATTATGGTGTCCAGGGAACAGCTCTTTAATGGTTTCAATCATATTTATCTAATTGCTCTCAATTTGTTGAAATTGCTAATAAATCCTCCTCTACTAAATCAACATCAACAAGTGTTCCTCAGGGCTTGATTCTTGGTCCTCTTCTCTTCCTTGTATATATAAATGACCTCAACACATGTATCAGATATTCCAGAACATATCATTTTGTTGATGATACCAACCTATTAATAGTTGAAAAACCATTGAAAAAATTAAATAAATATCTAAACTATGACCTATCATGTTTAGTTCAGTGGCTACGTGCAAACAAAATCTTCCTAAATACAAAAAAGACTGAAATTGTTCTCTTTAAATCTAGAAGTAAAAAAATTGAAAAAAAGTTGAATTTCAGAATAAGTGGACAAAAACTATATATTGTTGATAAAATCAAGTACCTTGGTATAATACTAGATAAAAACTTATTGTTTAATCATCAATTAAAGTCGATCTCTATCAA